ATCTTTGTTGTTATATATGAATGTACATAATATTAATTTGTTTAATGCATGTTAATTAGGTATGAATGAAAAGTTAAAATGCTTACAATGCAGCGATGTTTTCTTAAAATGTTTATAAGAAATGCAAATTGTTGTTTTATTTTGGATACAAAAAAAAAACACTTAACACTTTTCAATGGTTGGTGGTTAAAGTGTTAAATATGAAAATGAACTTTGAGGAAACATCTGTACCTAAAAGAAAACATTCATCTATATATATATATATATATTTATATATATATATATATATATATATATATATATGTAAAAGGCTATGTCCTGAATGTCTGCAGGATCAACCCACCGATCGTAGTGACCAGAAAATTGGAGAGCTTGGTTTGCGTGTGGCGTAGGCATTCGTCGTGAGAAAGGATTTTTAGGACCTGAAACCGATCCTTTCGAAAAAATCGAATTTATTTCAAAATAGTTTGATTTATAAGAAATTTGGTACACAAAAAACTCTCTGCCTAAATTGAAAAGGGAAACTCTCTTCCGTCCGCAAAATTGCCCGGGGGTCGATTCGGTGGCACGCTTTTGCTTTATATGTGGACATGTGAGACATAAAGAGTGGGTTTTTAAGCGCTATAGAAAAATTAAAAAAAAAACACATAAAATTGCAAATCTTTACCGTGACTGCGCCTCAAATTATCCATCCATTTAGTCCAATTTCGACATACACTTTCCAATATTTCGGCTGTTATCTCTCGAATAAATGATTCAATATTGTCCTCCAATGCGTCAATTGAAGCGGACTTGTCTGTATAGACATTAGATTTAACATTGCCCCACAAAAAATAGTCTAAGGGCGTTGAATCGCATGACCTGGGCGGCCAATTGACCGGTCCCGAACGTGAAATAAAATGTTCACGAAGTCGCCTCTCAATAAGTCCGTTGTTACGCGTGCTGTGTGGCGTGTGGCACCGTCTTGTTGAAAACCACATTTCAGGCAAGTCAAGCTCTTGCATTTTGGGCAAAACAAACTTTGATATCATCTCACGGTAGCGCTCACCATTCATAGTTAAGTTACGACTTGCATCATCCTTGAAGAAGTACAATCCCAATTGAAAGCTTACAAAATACAGCCTGGTCAAGAGCTAAGGCTGCCTGACTTACCTAAGCGTAATCGCTTCGCTGTATGGACTATTGAAAAGTTCCAAGAAGATGCGACGTTTTCGATCTAAATTTTTTTGGGTCAATGAGTATGTAAACAAGCTAAATTACCGCATTTGGGGCGAAGAGAAACCTGAAGAGATTCAAGAGCTGAAATTTCCTCCAGAAAAAACAACGGCTTGATGGCTGAAATTGAAGCTCGTGATCTCAGCGACATTTGGTTTCAACAAGACGGTGCCACGTCCTTCACATTGCACCAATCAAAAGATTTATTGAGAGAACACTTCGGCGAGCAGATAACTTCACGTTTTGGGCTGGTTTACCGGCCGCCAAGATCGTGTGATATCACATCGTTAGACGTTTTCCTGTGCGGATATGCAAAGTTTAAAGTCTAAATATGCGGATTCGATTCTCGCGTGTCATTCGCCAGTTACCAGTCGAAATGCTCAAACGAGTCAGAGAAAATTCGACTCAACGGTTGGACCAACTGAGACGTAGACACGGCCAACATATGAAAGAGCTTAAAAAGTGTATGCCTTTCTTTCCAAAAAAAGTAGGCAACCTCGAACTCTAATATTAAATAAATTGTGCAGCAGTATCATTAGACCAATAAGGAAATTCATTTCCAAAAGCTCTATACAATGCAATTTACGTCATAAATTCATTCTCATATAGATATGTACACATTGCATGTCAGTTTTACCGCTATACGGAAGATACTACATATAGTACCCAATGAGAAAATTACGAGATGTAGTCCTTGTTGTAGTTGCATTGAGTGGCTCTGGTACAACTATACATCGGATCAATATCAATATATCCACAAGGGCGTATCCAAAAGCCACCCCGGGGGGAAGAAAATAAATTCTTACCTCGAACCTAAAGTTGATGTTATTCGAAATGACTATCCATAAGTGGCGAAGTTGAGTCGATTTGTGGAAAATTTAATACCGAAGTGATGAAATGAATAAAAGGGAAGTAAAACGCTCTTGATCGTAGAGACAAATTTGATCATTTTTACTGAAGAAAAATATTTATGAAGCAAAACTAAGCGCACCAAGATTTGAAAATGTTCCGATAATTTCTTCAGCCGTGTCTTCCATGCCATAATGCATGCCCGACAATGCCAATCCGATCAATCTTTACTGTCGCATAGTGGTTAAGAGACTTGAGGACTCAAACCTCAATATCAGTAGGCAATGCTAACCACTCGGCTTCCACAGCCGCCGGTTTTGATGGTAAGATCATTAATATTTGGCGCATTTTAGTGACTAGAGAGTGGTTCGGTCAAACACTTCCTACTTCGTTCGTTCCATGATAAAAAACATCTTGCAAAACTAGAGACAAATTCATGTGTACAAGAGATCAGACGTGATAGCGCGTATAGTACATGGAGAGACACCACAATGAGGAGTGTTTTCACCTCTTCTTTTATGTACTCTCGTGGTTAACAGATGAACTGGTGAGACTGGAGGAGAGAACCGCCATGTGTAGGTCTATCTAGATAACATTTTAGTAATCGTAAGCGGCAAGTGCCTGGCAATCAACAGATAACCAGCGAAACAGGACCTTATAAAAACAAACCTTAGAGAGACTTAGTGTCAGCACTGGATGAATCTAGATCTCCAGCTTGGAATAAACCAAAGCTAGAAGATACTACTTTTTAGCCTAAACTGAGCAGTTAGTACTTGGATTGTTAGTTGTCGAGGCGGCTCAATATGGGGGAAACGCGTGAAAAAGCCAACAGCAGCCTGCCTGATGGTCTTTTCACCATCGCTCTTTTTTTGGATCTTCGTTGTGTTGTTAAGCCAATGCTTTTCTATGGTTCTCTATAATGTTGGAAAGCAAAAGCAAAACACTATCTGAAAGGGCTGGAAAGGGTCTTTAGATCAACCAATAATCAGCATCACCAAAGAACTGAAAACAGCATCATCTGCAATGCGATTTTAAATAAACCACCGAGAAGACACACGTGCATTGAAGGTAATGAGTCAGCTGACGAACTTGCTGAAGAGGGTGTCCATTTGGAACAGGACACAGCAACGAACCTCCCAGTTCCATTCAAGGAAGTGAAGCAGAATCAAGAAGTAATACCATTTCGTCAGGCGAATAGACTCTCGTAACGAGCTAAGGGCTGCAGAATCGCGCGAACTATGTATAAAACATACAATACTAGAGCTTGTACTATCTGTTAAGGGACCGGACTACAGCCTGCTGATAGGACTATTAACGGCGCTTTGCCTTCTGGCGTCTCATGCGCTTAAGATAGGTTTGACTGCGAACAACAAGTGGATGTATTTCGTTAATGTGAGACCCACTGGATCAGCCAGCTTAACCTAATCTAACCTAACCGACAAACCACCACAGCGAAGTACTGGGCATGCATACGCTGAAAGTCATGACATACCCGTAAGAGGGCAGTTATATTGTGCTTTCTCTAAGAGCACGAATAGACTACGATCTGACCCACAAACAAACACAAGTTCGACTTTAATAAGCTGCAATCACAACAGGCAATCAAACGGTCTTCTACTCAACTCACACTCCTTGCGCACTGAGAGTACTGATCAGCAACTCGTTATAAGGAAACTGTCGGCTGCATACATAGAGTTGCAAACGAAACTACTGGTTTTCGAAAAGGTCGTAAAAACAGCTGGTAAAATGAGGACTGCCGTGAAGAAAAAGTAGGCTGCCTACCTCGCAACAATGCGATCGACCACAAGACATAAAAAAAGAGGCCGCGATGTGTGAGCCAACAAATGGAATATTCAGGAAGGTTTCAAGACCGGAGTAGACTTTTATAGGACACAAAGAGATGTCCCAGTAACCGATGCTCAGAGTATACTGCATTTATGGAGGGAACACTTCTCCAGTTTACTGAATGGCAGTGAAAAAGCAACACCAGGACATGGCAAGCCCGACGAACGGAACCTAAGTGTGCTCGTTTGATTTCCATATGCAGATTTGAATGTTTCATTAGATATTATTTTTCTATAAAAATTTTCGATCCTTAAAAAATCTCGACTTTTTGTCTAAAAAAATATCCATAAAAATTGCATGAATATTTTTGAAACTTTTTTCTACTTTTTCTTAGTGGACTCTTGTCCCCTCAATGCATTTTTATCAAGTATAAAGACACATTTCCATATACATACATATACGTACATGCATATACACAAGGCTTGTGCATTATTTGCCTATGATACACCCGAGCGAATAAAACTGTTGATCCATTTAAACGCCTCACTTTAGTCATCTCCTTGGCTGCCACGCTCATGTACTAAGCAAGAAGATAACAATAGAATAATCACTGTAGAGATTTACACAAATCGTAGAGTAGTAAATTAGATAAAAGTTCATTTAAGCCGCACGAGATGAGCGCGTATACGTCGAAGGCATGCATAGACAGGAGACGACGTGTTGGAAGCTGCCCGCAGTGGCGGAAGCAAATAATTAATAATAAAAATAAATAAATAAGTTAGCGACTAAACTAAGACTGAGTGGATACACTTTTAGTGTGTGAAAATTCGAAAATAATATGCACAATGAATATGTTTGCGGTTACAAAGTGCGACGTCATTGCTCCATTTAAAAGCGAACCCCGCCGTTGACGATCAGTTCAGTACAAAAGCGGGACAGCAAAACAACAGTGTAGTGCCTTAAGAAAAAAAAAAAAAAAAAAAAAAAAAAAAAAAACTATAAATTTTCACGTTATTAAAACGATATATATTAATATATTCATTATGAAAACTGTCCAAATGACCAGATCGAAAAAAAAATTGCCTTAAAAAAAAAAAAAAAAAAAAAACAGAAATAAACTTTAAATACTTAAAACAAATAAACGAAATAAAATGTCCGCTGAAGAGGAGCTACTCCAGCTACGACCACGTGACGTGGAAATTGCCGCTGCAAAGGATACGAAATCAACAGCTGCCGATGAGTCAACAATCGCACCGAAACCCAAAGAGCAGTGGGGCAATGAAATTGAATTTCTATTCTCCTGCATTTCATTGTCTGTAGGCTTGGGCAATATTTGGCGTTTTCCATATATCGCCTTCCAGAATGGTGGTGGCGCTTTTGTCATACCATATTTAATTGTTTTACTAATTATTGGACGACCGGTGTATTATTTGGAGATCATATTGGGACAATTCTCAGGACGTGGCTGTATTAAGGCATTCAATATGACGCCAATTATGAAGGGTGAGTGTTCTAAAAAGTGAAAAGTGAAAACCAGAATTTGGCACATTTTCTCAGAAAGAATCTTTGAGCATCTCGAATCCTTGGCTTAGGTGCGGTCAGGTCCTTCTTTCAATCAACCAGCTTTGATGAAGAAATCAGTCATTTATAATTTCGGTGAAGGTCAATTTAATATCCTTAAATGGTAAATTTATTTTTGTGGAAAAATTTCAGTTCTTTAAAAATGATTTGGACTTTTTGAAGATTTTTTTTTTGCCCTGACGTATCAAGGTTGGTGAAAATTTCCATAGAATCGTCGATAAATGACGCCGCAGTTTTTAATAACAAATTTATTAGATAACATTTTGCCATTTCTCTCTAAGTTGAAAAATCCGACGTTCGTACAGAAAAATTTAGCAATCCATTTTGAGAAGCCTAATCACTTAAATGGTTTTGAAATCAGCAAAAATATGATAATCTGCTTGTATTAAGTCAAGGCGTTGGCATTAGACGAGTGGTTAGCAATGTGATCTCCCCTCGCTAGGGAATGTCAACCCCTCCTAGTTTATTTCTCACTTGCAGCTCCTCAAAAAAATCCATCAGCCATTCGGAGATGGCTTGGAACAAATCACACACCCAATTAAAAAAGGAGCCCGAAATCGGTTCAGTGGTTATAAATCGTGAATAATCAGTACCCAATTGAGTTCTGCTAAGTTTTGATGGGTTGTCAAAGAGTTTCGATAATTGACAACAGACCACATTGGAATCGAGCCCATCTACATGAAATGTGATCTGCTTTCGGTGAATACTAGCTCTGGATGTCGTTTATGGGATACGATCCATCGAGTTTTTCTGCTGTTTTTTCAGTGCAGTTGTTGATTTAGAAGCTGGGTATAACCACGCACGGACATGCAAGGTTAGTCAATGTCGTCGAAACGAATATGGATTTTAGGGGTCATGCAAAGAGCGAGAGATTTTAGTGTCTTGCTGGAACTCATTGCGTTATATATGTTGTGGTTTTGTCTTGATAACTGGGAGCAAATTAATCAGCTGCAGTAACCAGACCTTAATTCTAACAGTACTTATCGGGTATCGCAACGAAAATCGACTTCTTCTTCTGCTACAAGTGGAGCTTGGCTTCCGATAATGCGATTCACGGGAAAAAGAGTTAATAAAAGCATTGAAAGGCTATTTGTGAAGGGCTTTTAAGATCTCACAGTACCACACACGTCCAGTTGCTCTGTAGCAAACAAATATTGCGGAATCAAGTATGTAAAGCCAAGTACTTCCTTCCAGATATTCATATGGGCGGATTTGCTTTAAACAGGTCTCCGCGTGGATGATATCTGCGAAAGCATTCTTTCAGAATCCTCGGTGAGGCGAGGTCATTGACTTTTACATTCAGGATGAGCTGGTATTTCTTTGCAAGAGTGGGGAAGGTAGCATTTTACCTCTAAACAAAAAATATCTAAGGCTTCCGCGCTTATGTAAACATCTAAAGTTTACTTTATCATCATTTTGTTGTGGGCGCCCCTCGGCAGGGAATTCAACTCCTCCGAGTGTATTTCTGACATGAAAATCAAAAGCTCCTCATAAAAAACCCATCAGCCGTTCGGAGGCGGCTTGGTATAAACTGTAGGTCCCTCCATTTTTTGGGAAAACATCAAGACGCAAAACCACAAATTGGGGGAGGAGCTCGACCGAAAATCGCTTCAGCGTTTACAAAGTGCTAATTATTCTTATTGTTAGAAGACGAGCTTAATAAGCTCTAAAACGATTCGTGTCTTCATTGGGTTGTGGTGGGCACTGCTTGCGCAGGTGGAAATACAAAGTGAAACCGGGACTCTCTACACATAATTTTTCCAACGAAGTGGAGGTCTTCCAGTGCTTCCACCAACGGGTACTGCATCAAAGCTGGAGTGCTTTCACTCATATGGGCGACATGGAATAGCAAGCGTAGGCGATGAATGTCAATGTCACCGTATAACTCCTATAGCTCAGCGTTCCATCATCTTCGGCGTTTGCCGTATCCAATACACATGAATCATTCCCAAAACTTTTCTCTCGAAGACTCCCATGGCCGCCTCATCGGCTGTCGACATCGTCTACGCTTCTGCGCTATATAGTCGGACTTGATACCCGAGGGTTTTGTAGAGCTTTGTTGGTTCGTTTAGAGGGGACTTGAGATAAGGTTCAATCAGCTTGTTGATTGTAGGCTTTAGTCTTTCACGAAATATGCTTGATAGAAACTTATAAGCGATATTTAGGAGGCTAATCTCACGTTGATTGGCGCAGACCGTGAGGTCCCTTTTTTTACAATTATTGAGTTGAGTTCATGCGGCTGCTGGTCGAACACCAGCACATTTAGTCCAACAGGCCCATTGTGATACCGCTGAGGCTCCTGCCTTCACCTTCTCGAATGATGGAGTCATTTCGTGTGCCTTATAAAGGTAACGAGATTTCCAATCTTCACTGAGGCCAATTCAGCGAGATAGTCGAAGAAGTGTTTCCCAATAAACTTATATCGCACGGATGTCAAGGCTGGACATTGGCAGAGGTAGTGCTCGATGGTATCCTCCTCTTCTTTAACCCCACAGCCGCGGCAAAAATCGTTAGAGTGAAAGTCTATGCTAATCCCGCGAAGCTCCATTAAACAGTGTCCAGTTATCATACCCATCGCTATGCTAATGGAGAACCGGTCCAGAAGGATAAGATATTTGGATTTTTTCGCGTCCAACATCAGCCGTAGCTGTCTGGTCACGTTACTCGTGATCTCGTTCAACTATCGGAGGTCAGCTTCCATGGTGAAGGTCAATTTAAGCATGTCCTTAGCCGTGGACAAAGGTAAACCAGCATCGTGTGCATGTTTTATCGTAGATAGAAGAGTTTCTTCTCTTCGTCTGCCATGCAATTGCCTGGATGTCCCAGGTACATGTACAGGTACCCAGACCACGCCAGTCAAATATTGGTCGCCATAAATCTCAAACCCCATAAGAGAAATATTTAAATAATAGAAAGTAGTTTACATATCTTCATTTGGCGTTGAGAGTCCTTACTACGATTTTTTTTTCAAAACATTTATTCGTCAACAGTATCTAGAAGACTAGCTTTCCCTATAATGTACACTTTTCCTAAACAAGTATAACATTTATATTTAAAATTATCTCACGTAATTTCGTCTCTTTGTTTTCTTAAAGGTGTTGCCGCTGGTCAGGTGCTTGCCACTGGCGCCTCCATTACTTACTACTCGAGCATAATGGCCTTAACTTTACGTTTTCTAATAGCTTCCTTTTCGAAAGTCCTGCCATGGAGTTACTGTCGCGAGGAGTGGGGCGATAGGTGCCTTAATGAAACAACCTCAGCAGCTGCTAATGACAGCACAATGAGCAGCCTTGTGAATGAGCAGAGGGCAAAGATGTCACCAGCGGAATTGTATTTTCAGTAAGTAAATAAATATTTCAACCATATTTGCTCTCTTATAAATCTTTTGCTACTTTTACACTGTAATTATCTCAGTGTCAGTTGTACAAATACTTTTATCTCTTTTTGTTTATAAACTAATAATAAACTATTGTATATTTTGTTGATTGCATTTTATGTTTGTATGACGTATTTAACAATATCCCTCTTTCATGAAACAGAAAAGAAATTTTGCATGAACAAGATGACATTTTCAATGGCTTAGGCACACCTAATTGGGAGTTGGTAGGCTGCTTGGCGGTGGCCTGGTGCATAATTGGTGGTGTGCTGATAAGAGGTGAGAGTTTGATCCGCTTAAATTTTGTGCTCCCATAAATTTCAAGGATTATATGTATGATATGTTGTATTATAGGCGTGAAGAGCTCCGGTAAGGCTGCATACTTTCTGGGCGTTTTCCCCTATGTGGTGCTAATTGTGTTACTGCTGCGCGCTGTTACTCTGCCCGGTGCTATGGATGGTATAATTTACTTCTTCAAACCACAATGGTCGGAATTGTTAAATCCACTGGTAATTATAAATCCTTTATCACACTCATTAGACCAAATAAGTAGCTTTATTGGACCCTCCACCAACTATCATTTAACTTGTTTTATACCAAATGAATGATGTTCCTTTTGTGCTCACTCCTCTAGGTCTGGTATGCGGCAGTTACACAAGTTTTCTTCTCACTTGCAATTTGTTTTGGCACTCTGATCACCTACGCCTCCTACAATAATTTTTCACGCAATGTTTATAAGTACGCAGTTAATAATTATATAAGTCTTCAGTTCGTTCAACTTCAACTAACTTTACTTTCATAATACAGTGACATAGTCATTATCACCACTATGGACTCATGTTCATCCATTATAGCGGGCTGCATTACCTTTGGCATACTGGGCAATTTGGCCTTCAAGACTGGTGCGCCGGATGTAGCCAGCGTTGTTAAGGGCGGTGCTGGTTTGGCTTTCATATCGTACCCTGACGCCATTGCCAAATTCGAATTCATTCCACAGGTACGTATCGATGTGCTTAAGCGCCCAAATGGCGCTTTAAAACAAAACTACCTAAAAGGCATTCGCGGTCCTTTTCTTTTTGATGTTATTTGTATTAGGTATCGGCAGTACGGTTGGCATGGGCTCCTGCATTGTACGTGTGATACGTGATCGTTGGGTGCGTGCACCGAACTGGGCATTAGCGCTGAGTTTAGCTGTGTTGGGCTTCACCGTAAGTATTGTTTATATGACACCTGGTGGCCAGTTTGTGCTGAATCTGGTGGATTTCTATGGCGTATCGTTTACGGCGCTAATTTTGGCTATATGTGAACTATTGGCTGTTGGTTGGGTTTATGGTTAGTGAGGTGGTTTGTTCAAGACGAGTTTAGTTTTTAATACACATTAATTATTGAAAAGGTGTGAAACGCTTCTGCGCCGACATTGAATTCATGGTTGGTTTGAAAACTGGTATTTATTGGCGCATTTGTTGGGGTATCATCACACCTGGTCTAATGTTAGCTGTGCTCATTTATACACTCATCGATTTGAAACCGTTAACATACAAAAACATCGATTATCCGGGTATAGCGCACAGTAAGTTCAAAATGTTCAAGTTAATCACGATTAGACTGACTTATATTGACTCTCTCTCTCTGTGTATAAAGCATTTGGCTGGTGCTTATCCGCTATTGGTCTACTGCAAATACCTGGCTGGGCTCTGTATGGTGTTTTAAAACAGAAAAACTGCGCTAACTTCCTTAGTGTAAGTATATTACATTTATTTCTTACATATGTTGAGTGTAATTTTTTCTTTTTATTGCTTTTACTTTTATTCATTAGAAAATTTATGCTGCCGCTGCTCCTGCTAAAACATGGGGTCCATTGGAGATTCAAAATCGTGAAGAATATAGAAATCATCGCCGGAAGTGTGAACTGCAAACAAAGAAGAGATCAGTTTTACAAAGAGCTTATGAGAACATATTTGGTTGAGTTACCTTACAAGCAGCTTTTGCTATAAATTTAATAAAAAAAAAAAATTGTATTGAAAATTCTTTTCTATGTGACTAAGTATGTTTTTAATTTTTTCTCATAACGTAAATTACACTTTAGACTCGCTTCTGTAGTTAGTAATAAATTAAATTAAAAAAAAAAATAAATTCAAAACTAAACTACTTCATTTTCAGTCGGAGTGTCATTATTTATTACATCTTTGGGTTGCCCATAAATGCAGTCTCTCTAAATCTCTTCTGGTTAGCTTAATTACTATTAAACGCTTTTGTTTGCTCTGCTATAGAGATTTCCGACGTATAAATGCGTTTTGTCACCAAATAATCTCGCATTATTTTGAAAAATGTAAATTGATTTGTAAGCGTTGTAAAGCTAAAGGATAATATGAAATGCCATTCCAGAGTGTAATATAACGCTACTAAGCCTGTCAACACTATGCTGGCCTGTATTCCTGTGAGCGCCATGTACATTGTGGTAGGATTGTGGAAGAGTTTCTACAAGGAGATAAAAATTATATATAAAAAAAAATTAATTACACAAATAAATAAATAAAATTAAAAAAAGTACTCTCACTAACATAAAATCTCGAATGACTAGAGTTTCTGGGCACTGCTACGGTCACTGGGCCACAAGAGCTGAATAACTCGCCATCAAATTTGACTACACTGTTCTGTGTCCACACCGTATTGGCTTTCCACACAGTTGTTGAGCCACTAGTTGAATTACTATTATTACTGCTTGCGCTCGAACTACCACTATTGCCACCAATTGCGCGCATATCCATCTGAGACCAATAACCCAAATGTAAAGAAGCTCGATGCATGATATCACTATACTTGGCAGGAAAACCAAACGCAAATGCCATAGTTAGGCAACTTATCCAAACGTAGAATGCGTTTTGATATACCCACACAGTGTTGTAGTACATGGAGGCAGCAAACAAGCAAGGCACAATGCCGGCATAATAAACATTTAGGAGAGAAGTGAAAAGTATTTGTTTGAAGCGTATATTAAAATCATTTCGTAGTACATCAATTTCCTCGCGTATTATGTCGGGGCAACTGGAGCAACAATGCATTGGCATACCATTAAAGTAAGCACCCTCTACTTCGTAGGAGCTACGCAGAAATGATTCGATTTGAAAACCAAAGATAAGCACATAGATGACAAGACTGTTTCGAGAAAAAATTAATCTTAAATTATACTTATAAAAGGCAGTTGATAGAGTAACTTACGGGTAGACCAGTAAAAACACAGGCATGAATGTGTGTTTAAGGTAAATTTTATATGCACAAATGCCAAGTATCAATAGTAGCAAACAGGTGAAACTATATCTAACGGCTTTTTTGTAAAAACGACGTTTTTCAATAGTAATATTTTGCGTTAGATCTTGTGTGCGAATGATCAGGCAGAATAAAAAGCGACGTGACATCAGTAGCACAATGAATGCTACCAGGTACGGCTCAATGAGATAAACATTCTATAATAATGAAATGAAAAAATTAAAATATTTTCCACATACAATTGATGTTTTACTCACAACTGCATGATACGTGTTTGACTCCGGCACCCACCAAATGGTACGATAAATGTTTATAAATTGCATCGCTGTAGCGAATGTAATGAAGAGAAACATAACAAATTCATTAATGAGTTCGGAGCTTCCTGTGAATTCAGGAAAAGGAATATGTTTTGGCATGGGTGCGGCATCAATGTTATTGTAGGCGCTGCTGTTTCTGTCTCTTGCAATGTGGCTACCACCACCACTATTAACTTCATTATGGCTCTCCACGCCCATTTTTATTTAAGAATTATATATTTTTTTTCCGGTCTAAAATAATCCTTTTGATGTTGAAGGTATGACTTTTTGTGCAGATTGAAAAGTAAATAAACAAAGGCGAATTCAGTTTCGCTGTGAAAAATTATATTCGTTCCCGTACATTCATGACCGAAATGTGAAATTAGAGTGTCAAATCATTAAAATTCGGTCAGAACGAAAACGTAATAAAACAAAGTGTAATCATACACATTCGGTATTTAATTTAAAACTGCATATCTTGTTTTGTAAATTTTTAAAATTTAATAGATTCCTGTCGCCGAAAAGTTTTTATGTTTGATTTTAGCGTCCTCTGTTGGTGAAGTTTATGGAACAAATATTCTCACCATGAAATTTAAAATTAATGGTTTTTCGCTCCACTTCCGTTTCTTCCCTAGATTTTGATAATAATATTTCGAACAAATTTTTTGTTAACAAAGAGCTTTTATTGTTTATTTCCACTAAATTGCCATGAAGTACCCTTATTGTGATCTTGTATATCAATACCGTGTTGCCGTAAGCAGTTACGAAGCTCGTCACATATTTGAAATAGTTCCTTATTTTTCCCCGCTACGGCACGTTCTCGTATTAGGCGCCTTGATTGTAATAAATCCTCTACCAAACCTTCCAAGTCGAATTCAGTTGCTGCACCCATCACATGTGCTCTAGATTCTTCTACAAGACTGAAACCCAAAATTTGCAGTTGTTGTTGCACAAAATTTTGCACCGCCGCCACGGCATCCAAGCAACTGCTAGTGTATAACTTTTCGTTTTCCGCAGTACCAGCATTAATTTGACGACTTACTGCGTTTGCCTGTTCAAGTAGTACACCAATGCTACACGATGTATCAAAATCATCTTTATAGCAGGCATCAATATTATTTTTCGCTCGCTCGAGGTCACCAAGCATCTCACTTGCCTCCACCTGTGCACCCTGCTTTTTACCACTCAAATAAGCATTGCAATCGGCTTTAAAAGATTTAAGTCTTTTCAATGTATTTCTTGATGTTTCCATTAACGTGTCACTGTAGTCCATAGCATTGCGATAATTAGATAATGCACAAGCTAATCTAAATTCATCCGCAGTATAACGTTCCAACATTGCACCCACAGATATGGTATTTTTCAGAGATTTCGACATTTTTACTGATTGTCCTTTAACATGCAACTGCCCACTATGCAGCCAATAGTTCACCCATTGCTCTGAACCATGGTATGCACAACTTTGGGCTTCTTCGTTTTCGTGATGAGGAAAACGTAAGTCTAAGCCTCCGGCATGAAAGTCCAGTTGTTGTCCAAATATCATGCTGGCCAAAGTGCTACATTCAATATGCCAACCTGGACGTCCTGGGCCCCAAGGTGATGGCCAAGCTGGTTCATTTTCACATTTTTGTGCCTTCCATAGAGCAAAATCCGCGGGAGCCGTTTTGCCTTCTACACCAAGTATTGGCTTTTCCGGGTCTTCATCTATATTTGTCTTTTGCAGTTTACCATAGTTTCTGCATGTATTGACGGCAAAGTATACACTGCCATCGTTACCTTTGTAAGCACTACCTTTTCCTATGATGCGCGTGATAAATTCGACAATTCGTGGTATATTCTCAGTGACGCGTACTTTTATATTTGGCTCTTGCACATTTAGTTGCTTAAGAACCGACCAGAATTCGTTTTCGTAGAAACGAGATAACTCATGCCACGGTTTACCACTTTCTATACTTTTCTGTATAATTTTATCATCTATATCAGTTATATTCATAGCCGTTACTAAATTCACATTGAAATGGTGGCGCAAAATACGTTGTATAATGTCTAATTTAACATAGCAACTGATGTGTCCAATATGTGTGAAGTCATAAACAGTGGGCCCACATGTATACCAAGTTGCATATGCATCGTTGGAAAGTATTAGGGGTACTTGCTTTCGAGCAACACAATTATAAATCCGTATGCCTGTATCTCTCCCTTCGCTCGGTTGTTTCCATTGGTGTTGACTACAAAGGTATCTACTTTGTAGTGAGAGGAAACTGAACCGCTTCAAGTAACTAAGAATGAGAACATGTGAAAAGAAGCAATGAAAATATTATATGGATATACCTGGAGCGAGACATTTGATTGACCTGTATATTATTTCTATTCAAACGAGCAGCGGTTTCTGTTTTTAATTTGTTAAAAACTAGTAGTGATAGCAAACAACAGCTGATTAATTTCTGTGGCAACAAGCTCCCAGGCGGTGAAAAAAATACCCAAATTTATTGAATCTTATATGAATGAGCTTAACAGCTCAGCAATCTGCAATTTGAGAGATACTCTTAGAATAAGTGTTATTTTGGGGAACGACTAAGCAGGTAAACTTTCTTACAAGTTAAAATTAAAGTTAAAAGCTATCTTGAGAATTGCTGCACAAGTAAGAAGTTTATTTTATTAACTAAAAAATCCACTACTCCGGAAATTTTGCACTCTGTGGCAACTCATCAGCTGATTTGTTATAAGTTCAAGTGCACTTGCAAAATCTGTGTAATTTAGAAGTTACCATATAACATTTACATTTCTTTATATAATTAATAACAATAATTCGTGCCCTTTGAGAGTTATCACAAACAAACCGGCAACAAGATGATGCGCTACGAGGGTGAAGAGAAACTAGCTGATAACTCAGCCTGTGCGGGAGTTAGAGCTGATTTAAAGATGTGCCTGCTCGAGAGTGATTGTTGTCGTGTTGTGAGTGCAACTGATTTAATATAAAAACACGAAAATATAACGCTTTCTGATTATAGGATAAGAAAACGCCGCGTGAGTGTCTCAAAGGAAACAATGTGCCGGAAGAATGTCAAGTACTGAGAAACACCTTCTTCGAATGCAAACGTTCGCTGGTAAATAGAAAATACTTCTTACCGCCCTAGAATTTTTTACCGATTAAAATCTACTTGCAGCTTGACACCAGACAAAGATTCAGAGGACGCAAAGGCTATTAAAGTTTTCAAATAATGTTACGCATCCGGTTTGGCCTACCGCAATGTTTTTTATTTCATAATTTAAATAAAAATGATAGTTAAATACTAACTTATGTTGTACATACAAGAATTACATTAAATGCTAAAAAAAGTGTGTAACTTAGTTTCGCCTTCGTCGGACACGCGATATGCGCCAAGCATTCGGCTCTTCGTATTTATTATACAACGGTTCCAGGCGTTGATTTTTCTTGAATTTACTCAATTTCGTTGGGTCGGAGAAGCGGAAGAAAGAGGGTGCGAATTCTACCAACCATTTCGGATCAATGGTCGTTACTTCACGCATATATTCCTTGGTTGTCTGCACCAATTCGTGATAAACAACCCACTCTGGTTGACGATTAAATAACGCGCTAGAAGGATGAATATAGACCACTTGAGAATCGACAAGTGTACGATAACCCTCCTGAGGATCCTTTTTCGCAGCGTTGCGGAAGAAGCCTGAGCATATAGCTTTTTGAATCCGCACTGAGTTCTTGCCTGCCGAAACAACATCCAACTTATGACGATCCATGATACCGAGCAGCTGTTTGCGCACATCTTGCGAACGTTTGAGGGTACGAATTTGTACGAAATTCTCGTAACACCAAGCATTTGAGAATTTATTATTCTTCCAGCTGTTGTAGACGGCAAGTAATGTAAGATGATCACCTTCGGGCTGATTGAATTTTGCCTTCTTTTGATCAGCCAACGCTTGCTTGTCCTTGGGTCGATAGAAAACATTTTGTACACTCAACATGGATACAATTGTGAGAACTTCGTCGGAGCATTGCAAAGCTACGGACATGATAAGCATTTTGGAGAGATTTGGCTCCAATGGAAATTCCGCCATCCGGCGTCCTAAGCGAGTGAGCAAACCCTCATCATCTAGCGCGGAAAGTGAATGTAAGTTTTCCAAAGCCATTACCAGAGATTCCACAGGTGGCGCATCCATGAAATCGAAATGCAGCAAATCGTTAATACCCATTGTCTTCAGTTGCAATACCGTCATGGCCAAATTAGTTCGCTGTATCTCAGGAACAGGCGTTGGCAACATTTCATCACGGTAAGCACGCTCCGTGTATAAGCGATAACATTTTCCGGGTCCTGTGCGACCAGCGCGTCCAGCACGCTGTTTAGCAGCGGCTTGTGAAATTGGTGTGACCACCAATGAGTCCATGCCGGTCTTTGAATTATATACTTTCTGTTTGACGAAACCCGGATCAACGACATAAAAAATGCCATCAATAGTCAATGAGGTTTCAGCAATATTTGTGGCTATGACAACTTTGCGACTACCAGCTGGCGCTGGATCGAAGATACGCGTCTGCATTTCTGAGGGCAGCGCCGAGTACACAGGCAGTATAATTAATTCGGGCACATCAGGCCCTAAGCTTTTCATACGTTCGTACAGGATCTCGCAAGCGGTGTCAATCTCCTCCTGGCCCGTAAGGAAAAGTAATATATCACCTGGTGGCTCGCGCAAATGTATTTGCATAACAGTAATCAAAGAAGCATCTAAGTAATCTGTTTCCGGTTCTTTCGTGTACAAAACTTCCACGGGGAAGGTACGACCGGGTATGGTGAAGATAGGCGCTTCAAAGAAATACTGCGAGAATTTCACTGCGTCGAGTGTAGCTGAGGTGACAATTAGCTTTAGCTCTGGTCGCTTTTGTACTGCTCCCTTCAGTAAACCAAAGAGTATGTCCGTATGTATCGTACGTTCGTGCGCTTCATCCAACATAATCACGGAATAGGATTTCAGATCAGACTCCATCAAACATTCGCGCAACAACATACCTGTAGGGGGAATATTAGAAAAGCTTTGACATAATTCTGAGAAAAACATACCGTCAGTCATGTATTTGATAACCGTTTCCGGGCTAGTGCAATCCTCGAAACGTATAGTATAGCCCACTTCTTGACCAAGGCGACAACCGAACTCTTCTGCCACACGTTTGGCCACAGACATGGCGGCTACACGACGTGGTTGTGTGCAACCGATTTTGCCGCGCGCAGTGAAGCCGCTCTCAGCTAAATATTGTGTAATTTGCGTTGTCTTGCCGGAACCCGTCTCACCAATGACAATCAATATTTGATTGTCCGAAACAGCTTTAATAAGGTCATCGCGCAGCTTATAAATGGGCAGCGATTGACGTTGTTCCAATAGCGACATATCTGTTTTTTTACCAAATGATGATTTTTTGCCGCCGATGACATGCTTCTTCCACTCGGGTACCTCAATGGTTGCACCAGAGCCAATTCCACGTGTATTGGTCATAGTGCGCGACTCGTCCTCATCAGGTAATGGATCGATCCAGTTGCGGCTCATATTTGTTGGCGCTACCGCATCTTGTTCCCGCTGCAACATTTTCTGTTCTCGTCTTTCTTTTGATAGAGCTGATTGCATCATAGCTGCTTGTGCCAGCGAACCATCGGGATTTTTAACAATCCGCACGGGAGAAAGATCGTGCAGTGCCCGACCATGCCCTGAAAGGAATGGTGGTTCCTCTTCTACTATTTCAATTTCAATATCGGCTTCATCATCTTCCTCCTTTTGAATAAGACCGGTTTCTTCGTCGAAGTCAGGCATTTCACTGCGATCAATAACGCCAGAACTAATCATCTGTTTGATTTCCCAACGTTCGGGACTTGATATACGCGTCACTCGTTTGCGGGAATCACTTTCATCGTTATCCATACTGCCACCCTGGGAAAATGATTTGGGAATGTGAAGAAATTCGCTTAATCTGTAATTATAAGATTTACTTACTTGTAGATTTAGTAACGAGGTACCACTGTATGGGCGATCTGGGTTACGATCTCTCATTTCATCCTCAGGTGCAACATGTGATAAAGGATTCAAGTCTCTACCAGTTGCCTGATCAACTTCTTTCATTGAGAGTGAAACCTTTTGTCCAGCAATAGACATTACTTTGACTTTTACATTTGAATTTCGCTGCACAACTTCTGTAACATCGGTTACACGTCCTTCGGATCGTAACTGTGAAATATGAACAAGCCCTTCCCAGCGTTTACGCAGTCCAAAAAGTTGAACAAAGCATCCGAATGGTACAATATTAGCTACTTTGCCTGTATAAATTTTACCCGGTTCTGGATCGTCAGGCAGTGTCGCTGGTGGAGGCATTTTTTCATTACGCCCGTGGCGTTCTCCGGAATTAGAACGTGAGCGCTTACGTGCGCTACGTTCATTTCGCTCTCTTGATCGAGATCTTTTTCTGCCACTACGGTCACCGCGATCTCGGGATCTGGAGCGGCGATGACGATCACGCGAACGTGATCGTGAGCGACGTCTGCTACTACTGCTCGTACTGTGACCATGGGAACGAGAACGCGAACGACGTCTTCGATCACTGCGGTCGCGCTCACGTTCTCGATCCTTAATTCGTTCGTGATCCCGGTCACGATGGCGTGATTTACTACGTGAACGCCTTCGCCTATCGCTATTTCTTTTCTCGCTTGGCGAATAAGAACGTGATCGTTTATCTCGACTTCTATCTCGACGGCTACTGCGTTCATGGCGGCTTGTGCGCTCTTTTGATCGCGAACGTGAATGCCGATCGAGCTTTCTCTTCTTTTCTGTCTTCACTTTGGTATCTTCATATTTCTTTTGAGCACTTGGCGCTAGAGCCTCCAACTTGTCCATAGCATCGTCGATGTCACTCTTTTTTGGCTTGTGCTCTTTTTTTAATTGTTTACTAGGAGCCAACGCTTCCAATTCTGCCATAGCGTCATCTGTGTCTTCATCCTTAGATTTATGCACTTTTATTCGTTGACTTGGCGCAAGTGCTTCTAACTCTGCCATTGTATCGTCCAAATCATTTTTATTCTCGACATGTATACGTTTACTTGGCGCCAGCGCTTCTAACTCGTCCATAACATCTTCAATTTCATCACGTTTTTTTGTCTTAACTTTTTTTCCTTCATTATTGCTTCTCTCATGTTCCGAATCGGATTCGCTGGAAGCATTTTCACTTTCACCACCACTGCTGTATGACTTACTAAATTTGTCATTTGGTAAAGCCAAACCTGGAAACATACGCGTCAATTGATCTGCTTTCGCACTTTTGACGCTGCTAATGCCCTCAGGTTCCTCTTCTCCTCTACCAGGTTTCATCAAATTTATTATACGTTGTAGATTAGTAACAAAAGAATCTGGAAATTCGGCACCATTTTCATGCAATGCCTTACGAAAAGAATCAAACGTTGGATTTTTTTCCTCCAAATCGATAATGAATTCCGCCAAATCTTTGTCGTTCAAGCCCAAGTGATTTTCAAGTTCGGTGCAAATTTTCGACACCAACGATAAATATTCGAGACGCCGCAACTCCTCCATGTTGTGTTTTTTTACTAGTCACTACGTACGAAATTTGTGTTTAGTATTTATATGAAAAATAACATCTTAAACAAACGCGTTAATCTATTGAAATGAATAAAAATGCTTGTAAACGTAAACTACACATTTCACGTTGACAATCACTCAGCTGATATGCTATATTCAGGGTTGCAAAGACGAAACAAAAGTGATGGACAAATTTTTAAGTGAACCAAGTGAGAAAGAAACATAAAAGATCACTGTTGTTTGAAAATTTTTACAAAATTCATATGAATTAAGAAAAAGCAAATAGAAGAATGAATAAATAAATAAACAGCCAAAACTAATAAAAAAATATAAAAAAAAATAAATGAAATCAATAAGTTTCAAATTAAAAAATGTAGAATGAAGAACAATTAACATATTCGATAAAAATTAATTAATATAAATAAAATAAGGTAATACAAAATATAGTTAAATAAGAAATATAAATTATGTTTTACTTGATATGTTCTTAATAAACTATAAGACGCAATCTTACTTATGTTTTATTTTGTAGTGTCACTGAATTTTTAAGTTTGACTGAAATTACCGAACTGTTTGGGGTTTCTCTAGAATATTCTTTGTTTTTTTTTTTATTTATTTTGCAACATTATTTATGCGATTTAACTTAAGTTGCTGAATTTTGGTTATTGTTTTCTCGTGATATTCAATAACCTACCTAACGTTCTTTTGCAGGTCGGGTGCATAAGAATATATGGCATGGCATGCTTGCTGGGCATATGTATGTATGCATATCCATTGTCAAATCTAAGTATATACATATTTATATGTATACAAGGTCGCAATAGTTGATTGATTAGTAATTCGTACTATTACGAGTATAGTTTCGATCCTACCATTTTCTGCACATCTATGTATTTATTTTTATGTGACAAGATGGTACTGATAATACAAAAGCAAAACTCAATCATGTGTTTACCCATCTTCAAGGAAGAAATATTGTATGTTGTTGTTGTAGCGGTTCGCTTACCCTGCTTAGGCACAGGCTTAATTAGTCTAAGTCGCCGAGGTCATCTAATGGTAGGCCCAGGAAACGAGCTGTTTCGACGGGGTTGGACCAAAGGGAGAGGGGGGTTAGATGAGTAGGTTTGAAGGGGCATGTGAAGAGGTGGTTAGTGTCGTGCGGGGACTCTCTACATGCCGGGCATACGTTAGGTATGCTGGGGTCTAGTCTGGATAGGTAGGAGTTTAACCTGCTACAATATGCAGACCTGAGTTGTGTCAGGGTCACGCGGGTCTCTCGAGGCAGCTCGAGCTCGTTGTCTTCTGTGGGTGGTGGTGTTTCTCCGAGTACGCCATTCACTGGAAGGGAGTCCATGAAGGTGTTAACTGACTCCTGGTGAATGGCGTTCAGTGCTTGTCGATACGCCGTCCTGTCCAGCGGTTGTTGTGTGTGTTGCTGGATCGTGTCCTTAAAGTCTAGTACGCCCTTCCTGATGTGCCTAGGTGGAGGTTTAGCCTCTATTAAGTGCCTACTGGGGTGCTCCCTGCGGTAGCATCCCAGTAGGAACTGCTTGCTTGCAACTGCAAAGCATTACGCTCCTTAACTCGTAGCAAAGATGCTTCCCTGTGCAAGTGATGCTCCGGCGACATCAGGAGGTTTCCTGTCGCAGTCCTGAGGGCGGTGTTTTGGCAAGCCTGTAGCTTCTTCATCTGCGTCCCGTTCGTCCCCGGCGTCCAGATCGGAGCAGCATAGTTTACGACCAGCCGGCCAATTGCTTTGTAAGTAGCCAGCAAAGTTTCTTTATCTTTACCCCAGGTGCTGCCGGCTTGCGCTTTGTGTATTTTGTTGCGGCTCTGGAGTTTTGCGGCAATTGCGGTCGTATGCGGAGTGAAGGAGTGCAGGCTGTCTAGAGTTACTCCCAATATTTTTGGGTTATTTATCGTCGGAATTTTTTCGTCATCAACCTTTACATCCAGTTCAAGCCTGTATTCCTTCGTCCAGCTGGTGAAAAGGGTAGCCGAGGATTTTGTCGGTTGGATTCGTAATTGTCTTGCAGTGAAGAAGTGGGAGAGATCCGCGAGGTAGTCGTTTACTTTCGAGCAGAGGTCATCAATATCCTGGCCGGACGCCATTATCGTACAGTCATCGGCATACGAGGTTAGGGAAACTCCTTCTGGTGGTGGAGGGAGTTTCGATATATAAAAGTTAAACAGTAGCGGGGCGAGGACACCACCCTGCGGAACCCCCTGTTTAATTTTTCTGGGTTTAGATGTTTCACCTCGGAATATTACCGATGATTGTCGACCACTCAGGTAGCCCATGACCCACCTCTGCAACCCCGGCGGTAATGAGGATTCCTCAATGTCCGTTAGTAGCACTGAATGATTGACTGTTTCAAAAGCTTTTGACAGGTCCATTGCTACCAGGGCAGTTCGCGCGCAGGGTCGGTTTTGGTTGAGGCCATGGACTATCTGGGTGTTTATGGCGTTAAGTGCTGTTGTGGTGCTGTGCACTTTTCGGAAGCCATGCTGATGCGCTGCTGGACGCAGATGGTGAGTGAAGGTCGGGAGTAGTAAGGCCTCAAGCTTTTTCGCTACTGGGGAGAGGAGAGTTATCGGCCGATAGGACTCTCCTTTGTTGGCTGGTTTCCCCGGTTTTAGTAGCGGGACCACCCTACCCATTTTCCACACGTCGGGTATCTTCAGGGTGGCCAAAGACAGATTGAGGACCCTCGCGAGAAATTCTGCTCCCGCTGGTCCAATATGTTTCAGCATCAGCATGCTTATTCCGTCGGGGCCGATGGATTTGGAGGCTTTCGCCTTCCCGATGACTCCCTGAACCTCCTCCCTGGAGAAATCAGGCACCGCGCTGGTGTTTGGCAGTTTGCGCATACGGCGGGTCACACGTCGTTTCGCTTTGTCTACCGAGGGATGCAATGTAAAAATAAAATAGCTCGCGCATCTCTTCGGGTCCGACGAGGCGCGATCACCGAATGAAATTTCCACCCGGTCATCGCGTCTCGTCGGGTTAGATAGCGACTTGACTGGTGGATCTTTGTTCGCATACTTAAGAGGAGAGTTATTTTCTGGGATGGGATAACGTTTTTAAGAAATTCAATCTTTATAAACCAGTCGATTTTAATGGCTAACACGATTTTCAAAAAGAAACTAGGTATTTTGCGCCACTCACTATATCCTTCACACATGGAGCTTCTTGTACTTTTATACTGAAATATAGTATTAGCGTCAATTGCAGTTCGAGCCTCGTTGGAGTCCATAAGTTTCAACCGATTTACCATGGAATCTGGATGCCAATCCATGTGATGAAGTGCCCATTTTCGAGTTGAAATCTTTAAGCGCCATTTTGACTTCGAGTTGAGGGCAGCATTGTGGAAGTCGTCTTTGTTAAAATATATGTTTAACGCATGGTCTGAAAAGACCCTGGTCTGACAAAGAAAACGTGTTTTATTTTTGTTAAAACTTGGTTTTATTCACTAACGTAATATTCATCATAATTCGAGTTGTGGCCATTGCGTACTACTATCCGGAAGAATGTGGTTCGTGTGCGGCATCAAGTTGATCACCAAAACTTGAAGGGGGAATTCGACTTAAAATCGCTTCAGCGATTACAAAGTCAATACCCACACAATAATTTCTGCCCTAGTACCTCTATTGTTTCAGTACCTCTATTGTAGGACGATTTATCTTTTGCCTCAAAATAGGCCATAGTTTCACCGGTAACCTAATTTTGCGAATGCTGTGGATGTGGGATCAAACCGAACTTCAATTCATGCAATTTTGCCACTGTTAAGATCGATTGATTGACGCGATTTTCTTACTACCAAACAAGGTGATTTAATTTCAATTTCGCCCTTCAAAAACTTCTTGATAGTATATCCCATCTTCAAATAGTCTACAAACAGAACACGACGTATATCCCAACTCCTCATAAAAAACCACAGCCATTCGGAGGCGGCTTACTATAATCTGAAGGTCTCTTCATTTGTTGGGAAAACATTACGACGCAAAACCACAAATTGGAGGAGATGCTCGGCGGAAAATCGCTTCAGCGGTTACAAAAAAGTTATATATATATATATATATATATTTTTTTTTTATATATATACATGTGTATGTATATTCCAACATAGGAAGGCCGCAACTTTTGCAGCCAATTTTTGTGCTTTTAGGCTCTTTGGACATTTCACCAGTTGCTGTCCACTGCGCTCAGCATCATCCCTGCAGGGGAAAACCAACTAGTATTTACATACTAGTATGTTGAAGATGAAATCATACCAGTTCGTTATTTGTAAAGAAGTCCACCAGTAACGGGAGTAATAACAGTTTTCACCACCGTTTGTTGTTATTATATCGGCAGGCCGTTGCTGAATTCGATATTCTGCTCTGTTCTCTTCAGGTGCGCCAAATGACGGTGGTCATTTCATCATCACGATAGCCGACTGGGTAGAGGTCTTCACTGTGGTGCCTGAGGATCTCACAGCCGGCAAACTCATTTATATTTTAATTATTCATTTTACTTTTTTTGGTGAAGTAGAAATTCAACATACCGAAATGAACTAGTGTACAACTAGTATGAAGCTGATGGATAGTAAGACAATTGTCAGCGCGTCAATGTCCTACGCGCCGTATTGAAAATACCAATTGCTTACATTACATTATTCGAGTTGACAACTAGTATTTTCCCCTGCAGGGGTATTGAGACTGAAGCCAGCTACACACATACATTTGTACATTTATACATATATGTATATGTATATTAGGTCCGGGACTTTTCAGCTCATGTCTTACATATACATTGTAACTCATATCGAATCTCTTTGAAGACGATGTAGCTATTAAGGAACCGGACATTTGTTATCCGAAGTATTGTCTCTTTTGTAGTTATCGTCTGACCCTTTTTGTTGCTTATATTTTACCAGAGGGTTTGTTCCTATTGGGCTCAATACCATGGACTACTGTTTGGTTTTTGGATTGTACTTTTTGAACCAAGATTCGTAACGACTTTACTAAATACTAGACTGACCATTTTCGAATTTGTTTAGGGGGAAAATTGAGCAAAAGGCATTCGAGCCTCTTTTTGGGCTTCATTAAAATTCGCAGATTTCTTCGTGTATTTCAGATGAATACTTAAAATTCGCGATATCAATTTTGGCCTTCACCAGAGTTACAGTGACATCGTCAGTGGAAGATTTTAGTCGACCTTCTCAGAGCTCGTCTTCTACGG